TTTTTTTTTTTTTTTTTTTTTTTTTTTTTTTTTTTTTTTGTTTTTGGTTTTTTTTGGGTTTTTTTTGTTTTTTTTTTGTTTTTTTTTGTTAATGGAGAGTGCAACGAGTAAAGAAAGAAGTTACGGAATGTTGTTTTGAATTTCCGGATTGAAGAAGAAGCAGTGTTGGTTTTATGAAGAAAAATGCACGGGTTGACTGTGTCCGAGAATTTTGTTATTTCCGCATCAAGATTTTAATTAGTATTTATAGTTCTTTGAAGTTTGATCATACTTTGGACTTCAGCCCATGGGGTGGACATATGGTTTTAATATGGGGCTGTTGTTTGGACATATGGTTTTAATATGTGGTTGTTGTTGTTGTTGTTGTTGTTTCAAATCGTTTTTAATCCTTTATAGTAACTTCGCTTTTGTTCGTGGCTGGCTGGCAATACCTTCGGACGATTAATTGACCCACTTCTCATCAACAGATCGAGCTGAAACTAGGAACATAGAATCATTACCGATGACAACACAATCTATCAATTGTAATATTAATATTGTTCAGGGGCGTGGAAAACCGACGACGTCATAAGCGGACGTCACTCTGATTATTAGAGTAAAAGACAACAAGAAAGGTTCTCCAAAACTAACCCTGGGAACAGCGTCTAAAATTAAGGTGTAGGCGCTCTTCAAGGTCTTCAGTTCCGAATCTACCTGCTCTAAATCTACCTGCTCTAAATCTACCTGCTCTAAATCTACCTGCTCTAAATCTACCTTCTCTAAATCTACCTGCTCTAAATCTATCTGCTCTAAATGTACCTGCTCTAAATCTACCTGCTCTAAATCTACCTGCTCTAAATCTACCTGCTCTAAATCTACCTGCTCTAAATCTACCTGCTCTAAATCTACCTTCTCTAAATCTACCTGCTCTAAATCTACCTGCTCTAAATCTACCGGCTCTAAATCTACCTGCTCTAAATCTACCTGCTCTAAATCTACCTGCTCTGAATCTACCCGCTCTGAATCTACCTGCTCTAAATCTACCTGCTCTAAATATATCTTCTCTAAATCTACCTGCTCAAAATCTATCTGCTCTAAATGTACCTGCTCTAAATCTATCTAGTCGTAATTAAACTTACAGAGAGCTGCGTCGTCACGTGGGTGACTGTCGTGTAGAAAGAAATCAATGAAACCAAGCATTTTCTCTTTCCTATCCGCGCCCCAACCCCCTCTTGCTTCGCCCATGGCTCCATCGGGTGGAAGGAAATAGTTTAATTTGATAAGCGCTGTGTGTTTATAGGGAAAATTCACTTGGGTTTTAACACTTCCAGTCTTTTTTGTGCATTCCTTGGAGAGGGGGGGGGGGTTTGAATATTGCACACGATTTGATTTTTATACGATAGAACAGGCTTGCACAACATACGGCCCCAGGGGCCACATGCGTTCCGCCCACACTCACTTTGCGGCCCGCGAAGTAACGAAATATTTTTTATTATTATTATTTTCTTGATAGCTTCCACACTCCCCCCCCCCCCCCCCGTACTATTTTCTTTCGGCCCCCACAAGTTTTTCTTAAAGTATTTCGGCTCGGCCCGCCTGTGCTAGAAGGTTTAATTATTTTCTTTGATTACCTAATTAGTATTATAATTTTTTTAATTTTTTTTTTGTCTTCATCCACAGTCTCATGAGCAACTGTATATCTGGATTGTATCAGCTTCACGGATCAACTAACGTCGCGCTACATACAACGGATTTCATTGACGCTTTAAAAAATTTTTTAAAACTATACACTTTTGAACATTCTTTATAAAGTTTCTTCAGTTTCCAAGCGCCATCAAGTAAACAAACAAACAAAATCCAAACAAAAAAATCAGCACCTTCCTAAAGATGTAAGCTTAAAACGTATTGCCAGTTCCCCTTTTGTTTCTTTCATTCATATCGAGTACAATCACTTATAGGTACAATTGTTGACTCCGCGTTAAGCGTGCATGAAAAAATGGCATGAACTAATCAGACGGTTGTATTAAATAGCACGATGTGAAGACAAATCTACGGCTTGGATTTCTTAGTTGTAGGTTGTTGTTTTTTTTTTCAACTGACGTCAGAACCATCCATTCGTGACGTCACTTCACCACCTCCACCGCGTGATCTTCGTCACCATGGGTGACGATGTGAACGTGACCTTTCCCATCGGTCATCCCAATATGACCTTCGACCCGGACGAAGTCCTTCCGGATTCGGTGAAGTTCGTCCGAGGGGCGTGTCTGGTCGTCATCAGCGTGCTCGGCGCAAGCTTCAACACCTTCATGATCATTGCGATCGTCCCGAACCGGCGGCTGAGGACAGTCCGGAACATCCTATTGGTTCATCTTGGGGGCGTCGGCTTGATGTCATCCATTTTCACCACGATGTTTCCGGCTGTCACCACTTTTCATGTAAGGTCTTTCTTTCTTTGTCAAATTGTGTTGTACAGTATATATTTTTTGTATTGAAATAGGAATTAATGTAAAGCAGGGGCGTCATTCCAGTACTTTTCGGGGGAGGGGGGGGGGAAACAAAACTTGGTCGGCTTGGTAAGTTGTTTATTACTGGAGGCGCCACAGTACGTAGCAATTTAAATAAAATCTGCACATTCAGGGGGGTGGGGGAACGCCCACCCTACCCTACACAAACGACGTCCGTGATGTAGAGTTATTTTTCACTTGTTTAGTTCATTGCGTGACTTAGGAATATTCACTTTAGTTGTTTATATCTATATATTAAACACATGCGATTGTTATCAAAAGTTACCAATTATCTATGTTTATATAAATATTACACGGTTATTTGAATTTTTTAACCAAAAAAAAAAATTCTTTGGATCGTATGTAGGATGTGAAGCCAAGATCGTTCTCTCTCGACCACATCCTACACGTGTTGCATGATAACTTTGACAATCAAAAATCGCAAATCTTTATATGGAAAACATTCTTACGACATATTTTACATTTGTTCTCAATAACGAAACGAGCTATGCCCAGTTTACACGCTCAATAATACTGGGCCAAAACATTCTTGTCCAATCACTGAAGGAAAGTTTTTATTATTTGGCATTTGTCTTAAAAATACTCTTGACGCCACTTCTTAAAAATCTCATTTGTTTTGTTTTTTGTTGTTTTTTTTCTACAGGGCAAGTGGGTCGGCGGGAAGACCATGTGCCAGACGTACGCTTACGTGACCTGTGTCTTCACCAGCGTGTCCGTCTGGACCATAGCGGCGCTGAGCTGGGACAAATACCAGACCATCGCCTCGCCCCTCCACCATTCGCTGACCGCCACCATCAGGAAGATGCTCCCTTGCTTCGGCGTCTTCTGGGGCTGCGGTCTCATCCTGTCCCTGCCCCCGCTGTTCGGCGCCAACGAGTACTCCCTGCACAGGACGATGGGCATCTGCGGGGTCAACTTCTCCAGCACGGCGGGCCGGTGGTACACCTGCGTGCTGGTGTGCCTCTCCTTCATCTTCCCGTTCTGCCTGATGATCTACTGCTACGCGCACATCTTCCGCATCGCCCGCACCCAGAGCAGCCGCATCGCCGCCACCATGCTGCGGATGGTCAGCGTCATTCAGGCCCCCATCGCACCGGCCACGCAGAGCTCGCTCTCCCTTCGTGGGACGAAAGCCATGGGCACGATACTGCAGCTGATCGGGTCGTTCGTTTTGACTTACCTCCCTTATTCTATTATTATCATCTACGAGGTCATTTTCGCCGTTCAGGCTAACACCATTTTCGTTTCTATAGCAACCACCCTGTTCCTAGCCGCCCCCTTCATACACGCCGCCATTTACGGGATACGGAACCAAATTCTACGGACGTCTTTCTACCGATACACCCGCCGGAAGCTGCAGCACTGCTGCGCCAAGGACAAGCGCCGAGGAAGCGTTAAGTCGCTCAATCGGAAATCCCCCACCGGTTTCAAAATCCCAATGAGGTGCATAATTAAGTCGGACGGTAAGCAGTACATCCTTCGGCGGACGCTGTCCTACCAGGGTGACCCCCTCAACCAGGTGGACGAATTCGGGGACCACACGTCGGGACTCCCGCGGCCGCACTCGTTCAACGTCCTGAGAAAGGCCAACGGCTGCTCTCCGTCCCTGCCCAACGGTCTCCGGGTTCACAACGGGCATAATTTGAAAGAGGAGGGCAAGCAGGTGAAAGAGGTCTCGTTCTCCGAGAAGGACGAGGTCTCGTATATCCACCCCGATGGCATGTCTCGCGTGGCGAGGGAGGAGGTCTCCTACTACAGCAAGGACATCATGAAAGAAATGAGTGTCATGGACTGGGAGATGGAGGAACTCTCTAAATATGATCGGGAAGAGGAGGAAGATAAGGAGGATCACAACTCCTCACGCACTTCCGGTACGCTGAAAGAAAGTACTCTGGGGTCGAACCTCCGAAAGGAGGAGATATCGAAAATGTATAAATTCAAGGACGAAATCACGAAACTGGCCCAGGCGAGGCTCAAGCCAACGTACACACCTCAGAACAACCGAGCCAGGAACTCGAGCAAGGACAAAAGGGGAAGGAACCGCTTCGACCAGGAAGAGTCGTCCATCTTTCATGTCGAGAATATGGACGAGCACTCAAAGTTTGATGTGGACTCTGATGACGGTGTGTCCTGTGCATAATTGAACCGTTAATTCGAACAGATCATTATGACCGGTCGCATAATTGCATAATAAAGTTTCAAGTTTTGTAAAAAAAATAAAAAATACACCAACTGGACTGTTGACAATGCTCACTAATATAATTTTAATATTGACTGTGAAATCCAATTTTTTTCTGTTTATTTAAACATATATATATATTTATATTTGACTGTGTTAGTTGTTTCATTACATATCAATGAAGGATAAATTGTATCAATCTCTGTGTTTCTAGTTCGCATCATTTTGAACTATGAAAACCACATCGACTTAATATGTCTTACCGCGGCAATATTTGGTGCCAAAAATGTTTCTTTTTTTAATTGTTGTGAGAATAGAAAAAGGAGTGCACATATCTGTTCTGCAATAGTTTTGAAGTAATTTTAAATTTATTATTAGTTTTTTTTTGTTTTTTTTTTTTTTTTTTTTTTTTTTTTTTTTTATATTGGAAGTGCAACCG